CAGCTGCACCCTCCTGGCCCCATGTCACAGAGACCGTGACCCCTCCTGGCATGTCGCTGTGGGTCCTGAACTGAAGTAGGGGAGCAAAGACAAGCCTTTATTCTGCATCACCTCACCAACGGAATCCTAGCTCCGCATAACTACGAGGACTGACTTTTCACAAAGAAAAGGACTGGGACCAGTGTTCATTAGGAAAAAAAAAAAAAAGCAAAAGAGGAAATGGCACGTATGAAATGATGGCAGGTATACAGATAAAGACCAGAAGGGTCCATGATGATATCTGAATAGTCACTGTGAGGCGGAAGAGGTCGCTTGTGCAGCTCAGCGTGGAAGAGTAGGGGTAGCCCCCTTCCCCTTGATAAGACAAATTTTATAAATGAATAAATATGGCAGTACTAACCGAAATTACACATGTGTACTGTGCATCCTTTGATGCAGCGATTATGCTTTTGGGGATGTGTCTTACAGAAATAGTTTCACACTTTGAAAGCTTTACATGTACATCTGTGTGTGTGTGTGTGTGTGTGTGTGTGTGTGTGTGTGTGAGAGAGAGAGAGAGAGAGAGAGAGAGAGAGAGAGAGAGAGGGAGAGGGAGAGAGAGAATGTCTATTGACGTATTATAAGCGCAGAAAATTGAGATAATGAACAACCACAGGGGGTGGTAAAGTACATGTCTATGCATTTCATATGTTCACATTCTGGGGTCCTATGCAACTTTCGAAAGAATAAGATAGGTGTGCAGGACTGATGTGGAAAGATGATTTTCATACATTGTTTGGTAAATTGTCAAATTGCTGCAGAACGACGTGTGGCTGAGATAGCCCCACTAGTGAATATCTGGGTTCCAATTATATATATATGTATATATAATATGCATCCACAGCCACATACATTCCTTATATGTATACACTGGCACATGCTAGAAGAATATAGCTCATTCTGTTACAAAGGATTAGCCTCTGGGTCCTGTCATTGAGATAGGATGGAGAGACCAAGGTAGGACTTTTAGTTATTGCTTTCACAACTCAGGATTCCTTCCTCCCTCACTCCCTCACTCCCTTTCTTTCTCCAGTTCTCCTTCCCGTTCCTCCTTCCTTCCTTTTAGTACAAAGAGCGTGCATTTATTTCACAATCATAAAACAAAATTAAGAACACCCAATATCCATTCAGCCATCCCCTACCCTATCCCTTCATAAAGTGATAAATTTGTTATTTTAAATTCCTTGAGCTTCCATGCATAATATTTAGGGAAGAGAACTATACATTTAAAGATGGAGAAGAAAAAATGGAATTAAAATGTATTGGGTTTCTGCTATGTACCAGACACAGCCCTGGGTACTCACATGCCAACATGATTAAATTCTCATTTCTCAAGTGATATCAGGGGTGATATTCACAATACCTGAGAACTTCTAAAGTACAGGCACCAACTAGAAAGACAGGATGGCAGCCATAGTACTGGAGTAGCATTCTAAAGCCACCCTATTCCCGGAGAGTGGGGACTTCAGAAGGGTCTTTGGGGAGGGCCTGGGACTGCCAGGCAGCAAGAAGGCACTGGGAGGTTGTGGGAAGGGGGACTCGAGGTTGTGAGCTATTTACCAACTGGCACAGAAGAGCTTTAATATTTAACAACGGGCACAGACACACAGGTGCGGGTCATCTGTGTGTCAAACCTGCTCAGCACAATGCTCTTAGGAGCTGAGAAGCCAAACAGTTGTCACTTGGTAATAAAATGCCCTTCTTCTGCTCTCCAGATTGGCCCTACGCTATTTGCAGGTCCAAGCTGAAAAGCAGGCAGACAGGGATCAAGAGTGATGAAGGAGTCTGAACTGATAGGAACATTCTCAGTGTGAAATATACAGGTGGGATTGGCCCTCGGCAAAGTAATTTCAAAGGGCTTTGGGCTTGATTACTTTTGTATGGACTGCCCAGCCTCTGAATATCTGCCACTCTTGACAAAAAGCTCGGGTTTGCCCAGGTTGCCCCATCAAAGACAGACTCAGGGCTCTTTCCCAAAGGCCACCTGAGGCAGCAAACGCAAGTGTGGTCTGAGCTGCTGCTGTTAGAGCTTCTGCAGCCTGCCAGCAGAACTGCTTCTCTTTTGTCCAGGCGAGGAGGGCCAGGTGCTCAGGGAGTAGGATGTTCCAAGAACTGCTGCTAGCACCCACCTCCCCGTGGTGAGGGTCACCCGGATCCTGCCTGGAGCCAGGAGAAGTGGGGCGTCTCCTTTGACCTTGCCTCAGCTTCCTCCTCTCCTGTCTTCATTGGAGCGCAGGGTACCTGAGATACAGCCTTCAATGTAGTGTTCTGTTTTATTTTAAATTGTACTTGGCTTTAACGCCTACACAGAGAAACAGCTGAAAAAATGGCTGCGCTCAGATGAAAACAGGTGAGATGAAGGCATGGATTGGCAGGGTGCTTAAGAGTCGTGCCCCAGGCCACTGCAGCCCATGATTTGAAGAAGTCAGATCTGCTCACCTCCACTCCACCAGGCTGCCATGCAAGGAGGGTCTGTGTCTTATTTCTCAAGCATCTACCACTTATTTCTCTTTGGATTTCTTTTTTGTGCTTCTCAATGCTATAAGTGAGATTTTAGAAAACAAGGGCCTGGTTTTGTTATTGTTTGAAAGAGCTCTGCTTGAAAGGAAACACAAGGGATGGAGTCACCTTTTTTTTTTTTTTTTTTGCCGAGCCACCCTGCCACTTGTTGGCAGCTCAGCGGCAGCTCAGCTCGGGCCAGGGATTAAACCGCTGTTGCTCAGGGCTCAAACTCTTGAGCGAACTCTTAACCAACTGAACCACTCGTCCGACCCTGAATGGAGTCATCTTCAAGCCATGATGTGGCGGTAGGTCTGAAAGTGTGCAGACTCTTGAGAACTCCATGGGGGCGAGAAGGCCAAGAGCACCTGCCCCTACTTCTCGGGGTTTTGTCTAGCGTACCCTCTGCATCCAGCACAATTCTGTCCCCTATGCCATCTCCATCGTTCAAGAGTCAGGTACTTAGCCACCGCCAATGCCACCACCACCATGAGAGGAACTCAGAGAGGTTTTGCAGGTAGCTAAAATGTACAACAGCTGAAATGGCTGCATGTTCTCTTTAAGGACCTGGACGGGTCCAGGTCCCAATGAAATGGGCCATCACCACAATGCTATGGGGTCACAACAGCCCTCTGCAGCTCCCCTCTGGCCAGTAGTCTGGGGCTTGGTGTTAAGGATCAGACACTTACTTACTCCAGCTCGGCCACGTCCTGGCTGTGTGGCAAAGATCTAGGACTATTCAAGCTTCAGCTTGGGTTTCCTAACCCCTACCAACATTTTTCCCTTGGGAGGATTGCTGCAATATTAAGGACAGGGCTATCTGCTGTCCTCACCTCTACCCGGGGTCTATCATGGCATCTGGTACCATGTCACACCTTTGAAGACGGATGGTATGAATCACAATAAACAGAAATGTGTATGGACAGTTTACTGTGTACCAGACACTCTATGGGAGTCATGCCATATATGTTTCCTAACCGCGGCGCAGAATGCTAGTATCACGTCCCTTTAGTGGAAGAGAGACGGATGCTATGTCCATGGTCACAGAGCTAGTAAACTTACTTTCAGTATCATTATGCCTCCTGAATGCACACTCTATCACCATATCGTGCTGCCTTCGGGGAAAGAAGGGTGTAAGGGAGGGAGGAAGGGTGGGAGGGAGGGAAGGAAGGAAAGAAGAAAAGGAGGTCAAATAAGATAATTGGCAGTGACCTGCCTCTCCCACCTGCTTCTTCACTTTGAAGATGTTTGCTGTTCTCCATCGGGAGTTTGGCGGAGGCAAGGGGCTGGAGGGTGGGGGTGGGGGATCATAAAAAGATGCATTTGAGAGGAAAGACCTTAGGAGGAGAGGAACATAGAGTTTAGAGCCCCAGAGCTGGGCCAAGTCTGCAGGATTCCTCTTCGCTCACAAAGAGAAGTGAGTCAGTGTCAGAGCTGGGATGTCCAGGCCGAGCCTTTAACCCATCGTTAGCATCGGCATCAGAACAACAATGTGGAGAAAAAGCAGAAAGGTACCTTTGTGGCATTTATCTAAAGGAAAATAGCCAAGTTCTATCTATAGACAAGCTGGAACCATAGATACTTAATAAAGACAAATATAAACACATCGTATGCGTATACCCACATCATCAGAAGTACCCCAACAGAATAAAGGGACCGTGCCTTTACAATAGCATCTAAGACAAAGAGTGAATCAAAACTCCACTAGGAGCCAGTAACAGCTGAAAAATACAAATGTGACCTCAAGCCACATCAACAGATGCACAGTAGCTGACAAAAGGGAGGTGACAGTCCTGTTTTGCTCAGCACAGGCGCAGCCCCACCTTGAGGAAGAGGAGGGTTAGCTCTGGTGTTAGACTCCAGGAAATGAAAAATGAGAGTCTCCACCAGGAGGACAGCGACCGCAATGGTAAAACGTCTGAAAAATATGTCACGTGAGGCTAGCTGAAGATGCAGGGATTGTGTATTTAGTTTGATGTCTAAAGGCTTACAGGGTGCTTTTTTTTCTGTTATCAAGTTTCCCAAGAGTTGCCTTGGAGAAGGAAGAGCAGGTTTATGTTCCTTGTGGACATGGAAGGCCAGGGAAACAAATTTCAACTCAATATAAGGAAAAACCTTCTAATCGTAGTATCTGGAAATCAGACGAGCTCTCTGTTCGGTAGTGAGAAGGCCATCAAGGGAGGTAATCAAGGCACGGGAGAAATGTTGGACTACATAACCTCTGATGCTCCTCAAAACTCCAGTTCTAATAATACCAGCACTGTGTTTTCTTTTTTCTTCTCCCATCACTATTAAAGAGACAGGGAAGATAAACTGAGAACCCAACAGAGAGGCTGGCCATAATCCACAATGGCTTAGCCTAGACGACACCGTTGGCGTCCCCAACCACCCAGCCCTTGTGCCTCTTCCCTGCTCCCCAAAATGCCCCCCCTGGAAGGCGGGACAAAACAAAGAGGACTCACCTTTCTTCTCAAAGTCCCCTTTCTCTTCCCCTGGCCTTCCCAGGCTGTCCAGGGTGTGGGTCGCCTGGCTGCCAAACTCATCCTCCCGGGAGACATGGTTGGCCCGCCGGGGTGGGTCCTCATCCTCTTCATAATCATAGTCGTCCAGGATGGGGGTCTCCCGGATGGGCACGCCGATGACCGAATTGTGGGCCTGCAGCCTGGAGGAGCGGAAGCTTTCCCGGGCCTGGGGACCCAGCAGCACCGAGGGGATGTAGTGGATCTCGTGAGTGGCTTCCGTGCTGGCGCTCTTCTGGGGGATGCGACGGCGCTTCTGCCAGCGCCGCTGGGCGTACAGCGCCACAGTGAACGCCAGCAGCAGCAGCAGCAGAGCAATGAGGCCACCCTGCAGCAGGAGGGAAGAAGGACAAGCACGTGGGCGGCTGTTCATCCGGCCAGAGCGCCAGAGGGGATTTTCCTGGCTGCCTGGGTTTGCCTCCTGAAGCCTCGGGAACCACCAACCACAGCTTTGAAGCTGGAGAGACACTGTTTCCCAACCGGGCTTTCTCACCAACACGCTGTGTGACCTCAGACAAAGTGCTTGACTTCTCTGGGCCTTGCTTTTCTTATGTATTAGGATGAGTAAGAATCCCTGCCTTTCCTTCTTCGTAAGGACGCCGTAAGGAGCAGATGATATTGGTAACGCGCATGCCCGAGAAATGCAGGCTGCTAAATGCTGGGGAAGGGTCAGGCTGTGGCTTCACACAGTGAGTGTTTGAGCCCTGGCTCTGCCTCCCACCAGCTGAATGGCCCCAGGACATTTGCTCACACTCTCTCAGCCTTGCTTGCTCATTTCTAGACTGAGTCCACTGAGGGCTCAAGAGATAGCCTTTCTTCCACCCTGCTGCAAGTGTAAGAGCGCTATCCAGTCAAACATAACTTCTGCATCGTTTTTATTTCCTTCATTATCAGAAACACGATCTTTTAATGTTTGAAGCCCAACAAGGGGCCTGGGACAATGTAGATGCCTCATAAATATTCCTTGAATGATTGAAAAGAAAAAGGTATCTTTCTAGGGCTCCTTTAATCAGAAGTTTAAGGCAAACAAACGTTTCTTTTTCTTTAATACATCCAACTGGTAATCATTTGATTGACTCTGCCTGCCAACCATTAAACTGGAACACACTCATGGGCTCGTGAACATTTCTTATGTGATGCGCGGGATTCATGAAATACCCTGCTCTGTGAGCGCCCCAAGGGCAGGCGTGTTTTCAAAACATGACTAACCTCCCCACAGCACTTGCTGAGGGTTTGAGGTGGAAGCTTTGCTTCCTCTTGAGCTCCCCTCACGTGCTCTGTGCCAGAAACACCTCTGCAGAGCAGGGACAGGCCCTCTCAGTTATCTTGCATTTCTTCATTCTGTATCGTGCTTTCTGTCTGGGAGATTGGAGGCCACTTCGTTGAGTCCCTGCGTAGTCCCTAGACTCCAGAGCAGGGA